ATATTTAACACCAGTTTTGAGTTTTGACGTATAGGCATTATTTAAGCCAGTTGACCGACAAAGCGATCAATCGTCAAGGAGAAATTTCTCTTTGCTCCAAAGTGGAACTAGCTACCCCTTGACTACAAATATTAACCGATACGATATTATTTTATAGACTTTTTTCTTTGTCATTCGCGTTGATAGTTTTTCACATAATTGTTTGAAACATAAACTTGAAATTCGAAACTTGAGGCATAATTGTTTGGAATGGTAGTGTGTCCATACTATTTCTTTTTTGTTTAAATATATTTATAAAATTCAAGTAAATTCATTTCATCATTTGTAAAATGGATATCTCATTTTATTTTCTAGATATGGATAAACACTTGAAGGAAGAGAATAAACGACTACGAGCCGTTCTCTATTGTATAATGTGTAGGGAAAGACCAAAGAGCAGGGTGTTCATGGAATGTGGACATCTTCTGATGTGTGAGAATTGTTATTACTGTTGCAAATACTGTCCAACATGCGGTCTCCCTGTTGAAAGGACCATCAAAATTCACCGGGCTGTGTAAAATATAGAGACTGACTTGTTTAGTTAATAAAATAAATATACAGATACTAAAAATCGGTTCCTTTTAAATTTTGCAGTTTCCTCAATATATATATTGAAATCTATCGTGTACAAATATTATATGATGATGTTTACGAAATGCATGAAGAAAATATTATGTATTTTTGAAAAAGATAAATTAGACCGCCTCCGTGGTCGAGGGGTTAGAATCGATGGCTTCTAATCCAGTTACCTCTCTGGCGTGGGTTCGATCCCCTGGAGATGCTTTGGTAGTTTAGCGCGGAGGAAGGTATTCTAGTACTGGTGTAACTCTCCAGGAACGATGGTTAGGAATCTACCCGCTTATATGACTGAAATACTGTTGGAAAAGGTGTAAAATGAAAGCAAACGAACAAAAACAAACAAAAAAAGATAAATTAGATATGATCTTGAAGAACTGTCATAATTCGTCTGTGATGTCATGACCTGTCAATTAGTGCTTATTGTTTATCTTTATTTAAAACTAGCATTTTATCTTTGTTATGAATTTTATTGATAAGATGATATCTGTGACTATTGATTCAATGTACATTTTTTATTTTTTATTTCTTTAATTTTTTTTAAAGGTATAAATTATATTTCAATTTTCTTGTAAGAAAACTATTTTTAATTCCTATTACATTTTCATGCTTTAATTTGAATTTTAAATAATATTCTCCTAGTATAGTATTCTCTTTGAGTATACTTTTAAGCATTGGAACCTTTATTTCAGTTCTATATTGTAGAGGTCTACAAATAAATGTTACGTATTCATTAAAACTTACCTTGGCTTATAACAGTACATACACTGTTCCTTGACAAACATGTTTGTTGATATAACCAGCTATAAAACATAATATGAGGCATATTTCGCTATAGAATGACAAAACATACACTCATACAAGTAGTTTATATACTAGTTTTGCCTATACATGTTTGAAGAGATCCTTGTTGATCCTTTATTTCTGTTTGACTGTGTATCCGAATGTTTCGGACATGTATATTTTCAACTGTTTGTATATTTCCTTGCATAAATCCTTTAACATTATGATGAAGTATTGTTACAAATAAACTCCAATGTTTCCTAAGCACCATTTAACTTGATTTAAATCCATGAATTTAACTTGAACTGCGAGAAATTGTTGTAAACACATTTAACTAGTTTTACATAGACTCCATTTTGTTCGCAATGCATTGTGGTATTGTTGTTAGTTATCAAGTGTAAATACTTAAAACCTATCTCAGGTACATGACACAGTTGTATAGTTTCTACTTTTAACCAGTAGTAAAATCTTTGATTTTCTTTGTTAATCAGTCTTTGTAAATTTTCTAAGACTGCGCCCAATTTTACGGGTGATCAACCATTTCGTTGAGTTTGGGTTTTATTACAAGTATTTACACACATTTTATTATTGTTAGTAACAATCATTTCTGCTATTTTTGACACGTTTCACCGGTGCGCTATTTTGTTCTCCCTCTTATTCTAAATTATGGAAAGCCGTTTACGCCCGTTATCTAGGTTAGAAAGTTGACAATTACGAAAATATTATAAATTGTTAAAGGTTTAAGACAACATTTTAAGAACTGTTGTTTAAGCTATGCTTCTAACACAAAGCTACTATAGTTGATATTTACAACTGCTCATATTAAATAAAGATTAAACATTCCTTGAGTGGCTACTTCCAACATTTGGAATTGATTTTATATGTTAGAAATGTTTCATATTTAACTGTTGAGCACTATGTAATGTATTTAATATGCTTTATTAAAAGTTATGAACTAAACTACGACTTTCTCTTTTATGATGTGTTACTATATTATATAAATTGTATAATTTTATATAACCTTACATATATTCAACGAAGTCAGCAACATGCCTTAATCGTGACCTAGTTAATTTAGTGTTAAAACCCAATATACATTCAACGCATTCAGCAACGTCAACAGCCTAGATCGTGACAATTATCACGTGCATGGTTATTTGATGATTGGCTAACAAGCAGAAGAATTTTATGAAAAGTTTATTTAGAAGTTAATGCCTATTCATACCTGAAAATATAACTTTCAGATTTTAAGAACGTGTTGGTTTTGAAGCACTACTCATTCATTAATGTGTTCGTTCATAAAAAATGATATTTTATGGACGTGATAAAGTATATTTTATTTTATGCTTTTCGGTGGATTACTGATTTATCTGTGAAAATTATATTTGATAATTTCACAGTGAAAATTATAAAAATATAATTTCACTTTTTTCAATGACGAAACTACTTTTTTAAGATTTTCCCCATGTGGTACCTCAATTTTATTTTTACTGACAATTCTGACAATATCAGGCTGTTAAAAAAAATAGCAAAGCTGAAATAGATAAATAACTTAAATGTCAAAAGTAATAAAGAGAATAAACTTAATACGAATTTATTTTATGTTGGAAAGTAAAAGTTTATTTCAGACATTCTCGAATCCGTTCCTGAAACCAACCAGTACTTACCGGTTGGTATAAAGTATCTTACTGACGGAAATAACGGCTTGTACCTGACGGGATTTAAAACCAGTCCGACGCCTTTTACCACTCGGCCACGCCGCCACTATACTAGTTGTCAAATGACATTACACTCGCGCGTGAATCACAAAGTTAATCCGTTTTATACACGGATAACTTATAACATAAAACACGGAATTAACGAATCAGACATATACTTTTATGCAAGATATTAGCCCCATTACACTTTTTTCGTGCATTACCAATTGTAGAAGCCCTTGGCTTCGACTTGTTAAATCTTTCGTCCTGCATGCTCGGACTTATCATGGTTTATCAGCTTCTACAGATGTTTATGCAAAGAAAAGGTGCATCAACCCTTTATAAAACGATTCCTTCCGAATCGCTTGATATCGACTTTTGTTCTGTATCATCATGATAAACGTGCAGCCACCTTTTTAAACTAAATTTTCGTCATGTCAGATGGTGTTTTCCACTGTCACGTCATTATTCGAAACAAATACAAATATGGCCGCTTGCAAACATGTTCAATTGGGATAACAATCTGTAAATATTATCTTAAAACTATGTAGAAGGAAATACAGATTCTCTACAGGTATCCATGAATTATCTTTGAATGAAACAATGCTCACAGTGATCATTCTGTCTTTTATAAATAGTTACAAGCACATTTTAAATTTTATTCATGAACCAATTCATCAATATCTGAAATACTTTATATTACAATTGAAACAACACGTCATATGAATCTTTATTTTTTTTCTTTTGTAATAGATTCATTTAAAATGTTATTAGTTTTTTTTGTTAAGATAATAAAAGTTTGACATATTTTGCTTTCTTTCCGTTCATTTCTCGCCAAATATCCACAAGTACATAACTGCTACTACTGAATTCAAATTCTGCAAGGGACTTATGATTCTTACATATGAATAAGTTATCGAGCTAGCTTACGGTACGTCGGTGGTTCTACTTAGGTGCCAGTCTGTGCCTAATTAAAGCACCTGAGGTATCTCTACACAAGTAAAGCTTATGCATTCATTATACGAAAAATTGAAAAAAAGTCCTCATACGTCAAAAAATCCTTGTACGTCAAGCATTAATACTATCTCAGAAAGTCCTCAAAGGTGCACTGGTCCTCATACATACTGTTTCCCCATATGTTAACTTATCACCATACGTCCAGTCGTCCTCATACGTATAGAAGTCTTCATATGCCTAGTATTCCTCATACGCCCAGAAGTGCTCATTCGTCCAGTATTCTCAATATATCAAGTGATCCTCGTACATCCAGTATTCCCAGTAGTCCTCGTACGTTCAGTAGACCCCATATGTCAAATTATCCTCATACATCCAGTATTCCCAGTAGTCCTCGTACGTCCTTTAGACCCCATATGTCAAATTATCCTCATACATCCAGTATTCCCAGTAGTACTCGTACGTCCAGTAGTCCTCATATGTCAAATTATCCTCATACATCCAGTATTCCCAGTAGTCCTCGTACGTCCAGTAGTCCTCATATGTCAAATTATCCTCATACATCCAGTATTCCCAGTAGTCCTCGTACGTCCAGTAGTCCTCATATGTCAAATTATCCTCATACATCCAGTATTACTCATAGTTCTCAAACGCCCAAAACTCCTCGTACGTTCTCGTTTGTTTTTTTTTTCAGCATTCCTCGAAGATGCAATAGTCCATGTTTGTCAAATAGTAAAAGTTACATGTACAACTATCATGGGCATAGAAACACCTCCTCTCAGATGTTTGATAAGGGCTCCGTGTCAAACGGATGTATTCATACAAACGCTTATTATGATTTCATGAACAAAATTGTTATCATTACATTTTCAATTTGTTATCAGTATCTTTTACTCTGATATCTTTACTCGGTTATAGATCAAGCGGTTCAAGAGTCTGTTGGGCATCCTCAAGTAACAACTGATTAAGTTAACTACATTACGAAACATTTGGTTGTAATAATGAAGACATAAGTCATAAATTTGTGTATTTTGGTTATTTATTGTCAACTATATACATGTATAGACATTATATTTCTATAGACTTATTTCTGTTTTGTACGGAACATTAACATTAAATTGGTACCGGAGTTTTAAAAGGGCTACCAAGACATACGCGATAATTTGGAAATACTAAATCAGATATTAGTCCGAGTTTCAACGTATTACAGCAGCCATGAAGTGTTTTCTATCAACAAGTGTGATTTTATTGTTAAGTTTAGATTGTGTTGGCGCTATAGTATACTGTGAGTACTATGATCATTTATTTACATGTATGTTTTTTTTAACTTTATTCATTCTTTATGAAAAGCGGCAGCTAAGTGAAATTGTCAGTTACAAGTTAATAAACAGCAGATCCGGTAAGGAAGATCGACTTCCGGCTTGATTGTGAAAGGCGTAAAAATCCAAAACAATTCGTTCCATACACTATTAAGGAATCAGACATTTACTTTACGGTAATTAAATCACTGAAAAAAAAGATTTGTCTCAACGTAATAGAAAATACACTATTGTTCATGTTTGGTAAAAGTACTAGCAGCGTCATTATGGGTTATCAAGTATCGAAATTGCATCCAAAAATGACGAGACAAATGCTTTACTTCACATAGCATTCTTCGATTTTTGATTAAAATAAACTTCTTCTTTAAGCTGTTTCAGCTTTGTTTCAGCCATTGGATGTAGGTTAAGATAAATAACTTGTGGGCAAAGTTTCAGATCATTCACTCGCTCTGTTTCCCTAGAACCATTATTGTTATTGTGAAAAAAAACGACTTAAAACTTGGCTAAGAATAGCGCAAAAATAAGATGAGTATATATCTTTACTTTCTTTGAAACTTTCTGTTTAAAGTGTCTCAGGTTATCTATGTCAGAATTTTAAAAATTTCCTGTTTTTAGCCTTTTGGACCTCAGTGCAGTTTCTTTTAAGTTATTTTCATTTCAGTCTTCATGGAAGACAACTGTAATGGCGTTGTGGACATCTCTTACATAGATCAAATACGACTGCAGCTAACTCGACACAGTTCATACAGGGCAAATATGAACTGTAAACTACTTATTACTGCCAACACAACGGACCGTTTGATGCTTTTCTTCAAGGTTGGGTGATTATCATGCTTTAGACTTATGAAAAGAAAGAGATAACACTAGGATTTTTGTTAAACCAATTCTTATTAAAGGAGCTCCACTGAGGTCAAGGTGCCTAAAACAAACCATAAATAAAACTTATTCTTACATAGATCATGCAAAGCACTTAAATTGGAAAACTCTGCAAAAGTTATAATTTATAAAAGAAATATACTAAAATGAAATTGAATACCGATTCTTGTGCGGTACTTTAGACCGGTTCTAGTTAAAAATGTTGCAGTAATTTTTGGTTTTTGTCGCTTTGCATAATAACAATTATTATTCTGGAATAAAAAGTGTAGAACGAATGTTACCATATCTACATCAAATGGTACAAAAATCTCCGAAAACTATTTCCAGTCCCGTGATATAAAAAACATCAGTGGAGTCCCTTTAAGACTATTTCAGGACTTACCTAACTTGCTCGAGATTAAGTTTTCAGGATTCATAAAATATAATTATGAATTAAAAAACTATATGCCACCTGATGATAAATTCCTAAATTTGTAAAAATGTATGTCATACAATGTATTTAAGATAAAAAAAAAAAAAAATTCTATGGATCACTACAATTTTACAGCCAGCTTATGGTTTATAGATCTTAATGTGTTAACAATACCTTTGATACTTGGATCATATCTAAATAATGTAAAGATAATTTGCATGTATCGTAGATTATTTAAATAGAAGGACTTTATTGTTATCTACATTTATTTTCGTATGTAGGACTTTGATGTCGAAACAAGTGCTTCATGTAACCTTGATTATCTTGAAGTTCATGATGGCAACAGTATTAACTCACCGTTTGTACCAGGTAAATTATCTCCCCCTATTCTATTTGTCGAGTTGACATACTCTTTCGAATAAATAATGCGTGCAAATTAGGAAAATTATCTAACCTCCCTCTGAAACTCTCATTGTAGTAAACTTTTTTGGGTATTATCAGAAAAAAACTTTCCCTTTACATCAAAGAAAATTTAATTCCTGTATATCTGGTATATCATCACAACTTACTCTATGTGTCGAATTATAAACTCTTGTATCTTGGGGATAATACATATATTAGTTTTTCAGCCTTCTCAGCAAACAAATAACCGCGTCACAATTACAATCAAATCCTAACATGCACACACTTCTTTAATCAAACATCTACAATAAATGCATTTCATAATAAACATAATTATGCTTACTATCTCACTTCAACAGCCAATTATACATTATCAACTTCTATTTCATTCTCTAGCAGATGGTCCTGTTTTCTATTTTTACCGCGAAAACTAATGACAAAAATAGAGAATTTCACCCAATTGAAAATATATATCAATGTCACAAGTTAGAATCACATGCTCCTTTGTTTCTTGCTTCTTAAAATTGCTCAATCTGAAGACAATAGAGAAGCATACAAAGAGAAAATACCGTACTCCTTTGTCGTCTGAATACTTTGCTGATTTGAGAGCGCTTCATGATTCTGACAAGAACTCTTTAAAAATATGACTCACCACCACTTAAACCCTAGTTGATAAATAACTAAAACACAATACAAGCCCTTGAACTATTCCAACTATTATTATTTATCGGCTCAAATGTCCATTTCAATTTCAAAACTGTCATTTGTTTGTAACTTTAACCCTGGTCAACTGAAACTAAAACTAATGTACCAAAACTGGTAAGTTAAATAAATGTTTGTGTGTGTCAGAGAAAAACTACTATCTTTTGTGTGACAAAGGAACAAACTTTATATCACTCTTTATCAGATATATTAAATATCAAGTAAAAAGGATTTAAATATATATGAATTTATTTTCTCTTGACTTCAACAGAAAGGAGATATTTTTGCTTTTGAATATAACCAGAGTTTATCCTTTGACCGATTTTTTTCTCTCTTTAATATAAGAAGATTTTCTGTCTTGAATATTACCGGTGTTTCCTCTTAAGCATTGAGAACATTTTTCTTTCGAATATTACAGGACTATCAAAAAGGCAGTGTGGAAGTTACATGAGTAGCTCTGTAAGCAAAACAAGCGGCAATAAGCTTTTCCTCTACTTTCAAAGTAGTAGTGTTCGGCAGGAGAGAGGGTTTGACATGATCATCACTCAGTATCATACCGGCAAGTTCTTTACCATTGTCATTTGAGTAAAAATGCTTTAATGATTTAATATCTATATTTATTTATGTTTATTATGACTTACTTCTATTTGCATCCTTTTACAGTTTTTAGTCATATTATATTGATATGTTTTTCTTATAATAGTTGGCCGTTTTACCCTTAACACGCTAAATATATTAAGTGGACTCATGCATTTTTCATTCTGAACAAAATAGATAAAATAAAATCCCCAGAGAGCACAAAAACGACAAAATTGAAAAAGTTGCAAGCTCGGTTTGATTGAGCTTGTTCATGGAAAGTAGTAAAAAGTTCAAGTAACCGTCCACGTCCCCTAGCACCAGCTTAAGCAGAATTCAACATTTAAACATGAAAAAGGATGAAATTTTGAATTTAAAAACATCCGCAGATGTGTTCATACGGCGATTTAAATGGAACATTTAATGTAACACTTTCGTGTCATTCCATGAAAAGTGGTGTATGGTCCCCAAGTAAAAGAAAGCATGTGCCCAAAACGAGAGGTGGAACTAAGCAAAGTGGAACTTTCTAAGGAGGTCTGAGGTTATGAAGCTGGCATATCACAGATAAGACGTTAAAATACAAATTTAAAAAAACAGGCCCAATATCCTAAGCGATATTATACAGTGTTCTGTTCAAGTAGGAATGCTGGTTGCACCCAAGCTGAAAAAATATCAAATAGAAGGAACTAAAATACCACAAATATGTACACATAACAATTATGTCGTGCTAAACAATCTACAAAACCATTCATCTTCTTTTGACAAAGTTTCTCTACTGAATAGCGAACAGTCTACACTAGTTGCATGGGTAGATCCACTTGCGGAAAGCAGGTTTACGAAGAAAAAACAATCATAGTAGGCGAGATTTATTACCATGACCTTGGCAATGATATAGTCACATTTCTAATTGATTGACATGTTATATTAATTTAAGCGTCATTTAACAGTAGTTAATATTGATCTAGACCCTCAGAAATCTTGGGGGGGGGGGGGAAACTGACTAGTCTGCAAATATATTCTTTTACGGGTTTCTTAATTTTTTTATGTTATCTGCGAAATAATAAAAAAATAAAAAAAAAACCCTCCAAAGAACACTCCTTACCTCTGGAATCAGATAAGTTTCAAAGTCTCAACCATATAATTTCCTTACACGGTGATATATGCTTTAAAAAATTAACCTCATTAGTTTGAAATATTCCTTTTTGTTGCAGGTAAATGTCACGAGAATGAGTTCTCGTGCAGTAATGGACGCTGCGTCTCTTCCAGTTTGGTTTGTAACGGGTACGATCCATGCGGGGATTATTCTGACTGTACCAGTGAGCTTGCCACCGGAGTCATTATTGGCATTGCCGCCGGATCCTTTTGTCTTTGTCATCTGTGTTTTGTATTTGATATTGATTTACCGCCGACGACGACGCCAAAATGTTGAGTAAATTTTGTAATATCAAATTTTAAATGTATTAATATTCTGTTTAAAAAAAAATTTTGACTGAAACTTTTGACAGCATAAAAAATATGTATAATCATACAATGAGCTTCAGTATTTTTCTACATTTCATAGTTTTTTAGAATAGAACATTTTATATTTACGATCTAGTATCAAGAATTGAGCAAGCATAGAGAAAAACAGAATACCTAAAGAACGCCCAAAAGCGGCAAATTAAATATGTTACAGGCCCGGTTTGACTGAGCCTGTTCATGGCCAGTAGTGGTACTTGCAAAGAAGACTGTGTATATTAAAGTGAAATTAATCTGTCTGTCTTTTCTCTAACTAAATATTATTGAAATGATTAACAACTTGGAAAATAAATCTTGGAAAATAGTTTTGTTGACAGACAGAAGGTTCTTTAGTCAAAATGTTGTAAAATAGAGAAAACGTAATCCCTAACGAATGCCCAAAACCACAAAATTGAAAATGTTGCAAACTGGGTTTGATTGAGACTGATCATGTACTAAACTTGAAAGTGTATGTAAACGTCCACGCCAACCTAGCACTGGCAATATACTGTAAAACTTTTAATGCCCCGAAAGGCTAATCAAATTTTAGCCTTTTTTCTCAGACATTTTTAAGTGTAATATTTATGTCATATAAAGCCTTCACCCTGCTGTAATAACCTTTGTAACCTGCAAATAGCCAGATCAGACTGCACGGACATGCACCCTAGGATACACACATTTTTTTCATTTGGGGACATTATGCTGCTTTCCATAGAATGGCACTAACGTGTCAGATCGAAGGTTCCATGATAACCGCAATATGAACATATATGTAGATGTTTCAAAATTCAAAAATTTACCAGTTCATGTTAAATGTTGAATTCTGCTTAAGTCAGTGCTAGGGGGCGTGAACGGTAGCTTGCAATTATCACTACCGTGATTAAACCGAGCCTGCAACTTGTTTTTAATTTTGCAACTTCGCTTTCAAATGGACGGTAATTTGTAATTCCGATATTTTTACAATTACAGTACGAATTGATTGAATAAAATGACAGCCAACAGCAAGATTTATATACTAAATTGTACGTCTGGGTCTGCGGTTTCTGCAGCGGATATTCATTTGACTCAAGTCCGATACAAAATCCAAGATGGCGTCCATGATGGCTGCTAAAAGCGCCGATCATCTAGAATATTCATGTTGGCTATTTTTGTTTCCATATTATTGTATTTCAAATATAAAAACTGCACACAAGTTGTCATTTATAGCGTTTTATTTTATAAAACTTCAATTTAAAAAAAAATATATGTTTGTAATTCAGCAGTAAGACACATAAAGTGAGAGGCTCTACATAAGGAGTTTTTAAATGTACTGATTTGTGCAATCGATTATTTTACTCTATTCTTGTGTTTGTATCAAATTATAATTTCTTGTAACAGATACGCATAACTTACCAGAAAGATGGTTATTGCCTCTGGTTATTTGAATAAATCATACCCACCCACTGTTTCTTTGTAGCTACAGATTGTACGGAATGACATCATTTACGTCATACAATTTAATATGAAAAGATTGTTACCGATGTACGATTTTATGAATTTCCAAACATGTTTTACCAATGAAATAATATACATCATACGTTGTAAGGTCACCTAATGATTTGAACTGTGTACAAACATACGTTGGGGATTTAGCCTTATATTACAGGAAAGGAGACCCAGCAAACTTGTACAAAATCGAATCCGCTTTGGAATCAGTCAAACGATTTTTCACGGTTTTCTCGAGAATATTGTGTTTTTTTACGGAAATTTCGACAATTAATCTACAAACAAATCGCCGGTCCAAAAAGCGACCTCTTGCTATTTCTTATCAAGCTGGAGAGCTTTATGCCTTATATTGCTATGATGAAGATATGTAATAAAAATATATAAAATAATATATATAATACTGATATTTCCCGTTTTTTTATAAGAACGTACGTTCATTATACAAAAGCTTACTGTATAGGATCTCAATTCCTATAAGAAAGTTTTCTAAAATGCTTTTTTTTCCGCACTAAACTTACTTTTATTTTGATAAAGTACCGAAATAATGTAACTCTCAGTTTTAGAAGGATGTAAATTGTCACTAAGATGTTGCTTTTTTAGTCATTTTACGGTTATAGAGAGAAAAAAAAACAAATTGACGGTCCAAAAAGACCATGCCACGCGGAAATTTCTAGTACATATTTCTTGGGTTAGGGCTTTGAGCCTTATCTGGTGCCTAGAAGACCCTCCACAATTGTACAAAATCGAATCCGCATTTGAATCAGTCAAACGATTTTTTCACGGTTGTCTCGAGAATATAATATTTTTTTACGAAGATATCTAGAATTTATATACAGAAAGAACATGTAGCAAGTCGGAAAAACGACCATGCCATGCGGAAATCTTCTGGACATTATTCTTACTTTAGGAATTTTGCCTTATATTACAGGAAAACAGACCCAGCAAACTTGTACAAAATCGAATCCGCATTGGAATCAGTCAAACGATTTTTCCACGGTTGTCTCGAGAATGTTGTGTTTTTTTACGGAAATTTCAACAATTTATATACAAACATAACAAATCGTCGGTCCAAAAAGCGACCTCTTGCTATTTATTTTCTTGCAGAAGAGCTTTAAACCTTATATTGCTGTGGAGAAGATCAAATATACTGATATGTACAACTTTTTTAGCTCACCAGAGCCGAAGGCTCAGGGTTAGCTATTAGTATGAAAGGGGGATACTCCGGCGTCCGGCGTCATTTGACAACAATCGTCTTTTTCTCTGAAGTTACTTGTCGGATTTACCTAAAATTTGGTCTGTAGCATCCTTGTGACATTCACACTTAAATTTGCTCATGTCATGTTAATTGGCCCCTTTTAGGGGTCAACATAGCTAAAAAAGAAAAACCTTTAACATCTTCTACTACCGAACTAATTGATGGATGATCAGCATACTTTGTCTGTAGCATTCTTGGGTAGTCTTTTATCAAGTTTGCTCATATTAATTTGATTGGCCCCTTTTAGGGATCTCTAGGGCTAAAAATAGAAATACCTTTAAAGGTATTCTTCTACAGCACTTATTGGTGGATGATCACCAAACTTTGGATGTAGCATTCTTAGGTAGTCTTTTATCAAGTTTCCTCATATTAATTTGATTGGCCCTGTTTTAGCTAAAGCTTAAATGCCCCAGGTCATGGCATTTCTTCAAATTATAGATTAAAGATATTCTATGCTCAAATTTAATATAGAAAATATTGGCAATGGATACACAGTCTCTTTATAGATATAAAATAAACGTGTTTTGACTTCACACAAAATAGATATGTTATGTTTTAAACTCTTCACACTATAGGTGGTCACAGTATAAATATAATGATAGTGTCATTAAAAAACTGTCTTTTTATATAAAAGACCAACTTTACTTGGCCTATAATAGGATATGCAGCTTCCCATACATAGTTTATTAATAAGACATTTTCAGTAAGAATTTCATATAATATTGTTTCAATAAATTTCTATAACTCAAAGATGGACATAGGATATCTTTTCATAATGAAAGGGAAACAACTCACGTTGGAATGTGTACATAATTATGTTATGCAATTTTTCCAAGGATTGGAGTCATGACTTGTTTATGATGCGTAAATATATTTTAGCTCGAGAATTCGGACATCATATTGCATCATTGTAATGTTAGTTGTAGGTCATTTGTATGCTCAACTTTTTAATGAATTTTGTAATTGTATTTTTGTTCTTTATTTTTTTTGTTGTTGTTGAATTGGATTTAAACTTGGAGAAAGCACATTTGAATAAATTTTGGGACATACTGCTGAACCTGAGTTTCATGTGCATTTATTGAATTTTAGCATCAGTTGAGCTGTTTTTGATTATTTTGTAACCATTGCACATACTTTCTTGTTTTTGATGTACAGAGACTTGAAATTTGGAATGATGTACAGAGACTTGAAATTTGGACCAGGAATGTAATTTCTGATGCAAATTGAAATAAGATATCAACTGACTACTTTTGGTATTATTATTTGATATTGTTTGACCTAGTTTGTCGTTTTTTGATGTACCTGCTAAAATTTGGACAAGGGGCTTAATTTCTGATCCTGAATTGAATGAACTGGCCTACTTTTGATATATTTGATATCGCTTTACCTACTTTTTTGTCTTTTATGACTTGAACTTCAAACCAGGCATGTAATTTGTGTATTTTTTATGTTGAATTCAATTTTGATACCATACAAACATAACAAATCGCCGGTCCAAAAAGCGACCTCTTGCTATTTCTTTTCAAGCGCCTTATATTGCTGTGAAGAAGTACATGTTGTACAAATCGAATAGGCACTGAAATCGGACCAATGTTGTTTAAAAAGATTGGCTTAGGAAAATGGTGTTTATTTGTACACTTTATATACAGAAAGAACAAATCGCCGGTCCAAAAAACGACCATGCCTCGCGGAAATCTCTAGTACATAATCCTTGGATTAGGGCTTAGAGCCTTATATTGTGCACAGAAGATCCTTCAAACTTGTACAAAATCAAACCCGCATTAGAATCAAACAAATGATGTTTAAACGGTTGCAAATCTCTATACCAAATTGTCATTATTTTGCACAAGTAAGTACATGTATACAGAATTTCAAATTAAATAGGTGCATACTATCTGTTGCAAATGAGTATATATAACGATGTGTGAGACAATAAGGCACTCGTTATCTGCAGTAACAATCGTCTGCGAAATATAAAAAAAATATTTCTTTTCAAGCAGGAGAGCTTTGAGCCTTATATTGCTGTGAACAAGATCTAATAAACTGATATGTACAGTTTTTTTGTTGGCATTCAATCTCTGGCACAAAATTTCACGACAAACCTAACAACAAGTAGTTCTCAAAACAGCTTAAAACTAGCAATGTAAATGAAAGAAATATTTTTATTTTGTTACAAGTATCCAACAAATTACAACGCATTCAATGTTTTAAAGTAGGTTGGATTATAGAATTGTCAATAAATGCACAATCACAAATTACGCGAATGAATATCATTTAAATTAATGAAAATGCTTTTTTTTAGCGATGTCGATTACCGAATATTTCAGAGCGTAGTACACAAATCGAGCAGTAGTCTGGTTCCCGGCCTACATTTACTACGGACAGTAGTATAACGTAGTATAAGGGGAAGGAATTCCAGACTTGTCGAGCAGTAGATATATGGATACATGTCGGACTGATTGCGCTAAATTATTTAACAGGTTTATCGTGAACAAAATACCTCGAAATTTATAAGGATTACAAACCCGAAATGGAAATTATAAATTTAGAATTATTTGATTTTATTCAGGCATATTCCGTATAATTTTCCCGTGGGGCACGGGTAACGCGCTCGTTTAGGGTGTGAGAGGTCTGGGGTTCAAATCAAAGTCGAGGCAACTACTTTTTTTTGAGTGTCTTTTTAAGGAAGTAGCCACGTTATGCAAGGATAAAGTGTGAATATCATAAAAAATGAACATAATTGATTTTTGATGCAACTCTAGTCATGCAAAATTCCGTTTGTATCAAAATCAATCTGTTATAGTAAAAAATCTAAACGCAGTCGTTGCAACTCGGTGCCCTGAAAGATGGATTATAGTATATAAAAATAAACTTATACAGGAAAATACATACAGATATACAGTACGATTTAGATTGCAAAGATCAGAAAATACCACAGAGATTGCGGCCTTTTGATTTATATATATAAGTACGTAGCGTTTATTATACAAAAGCTTACTGTACAGGATCTGAATCCCTATAAGAACTGATATCTACAGTTTTTTGTTTATCAGTACGTAGCGTTCATTATACATGTACAAAAGCTTACTGTACAGGATCTCAAGTCCTATAAGAAAGTTCTCTAAAATGCATTTTTGTCTCACTAAACTGCACTAAACTTACTTTTATTCCGACCAATTACGTGGCAACTTCCTAGAGTATAACGAAATGTACACTTTCTTATGCAACTGAGTATATCTTTTTGTATAGTTAGATTTAATGAGGTTTAAAAAAATATTTCATTTTACTTTGATCGTGACAAAATCTTTTAAGCTTTTTATGAACCACTCGCTTCCTCTAACTTCCTAATACTGATGTAATACAAAGCAACATAGTCGTTAACCAGATAGGACTCGAACCAAAGATTCCTAGGTTGAGAAGCAGAAACCTTAACTTACAAGCCATAATTCTCCTAGTTACAGTTTGACAACTAGATCATCCAACAAATTAGTTCCAACACGACCCCTCCCCCCTCCCGGAAAAAAATAAGAAAAGATAAAAACAAATGATAATAAAACAACTTTGCACACGAACAACAACAATATAAAGAAACAACAGCCATGACAAAAGTACATGAAGAAGAAAAAAACAACAATTTTTAGATATTTTTAAGATCAAACAAAACAAAACATAGCATAAGCAGCCAAAAATAAAAACAACGAATAAGGAAGATATTTGACATCAGTTAATTATCTTCCTGGTTTTAATCACGTGCAAACCTTCTGCTTATGACACACAATTAGATATAATACTGTGTCGCAGTAAAGTCCGGTACAATTTTGTTATATCATAGTAAACATACATTTATCAATGCTTGAATAAAACATAACGCGTAATATTTACGACCAGCTTTTAACATAATACGGAGTGTGATATCTTAAGTTTATATGTAAGGATCAGGAATATTTAAACGTCCAAAAATGAAGATTTTGGTTGTGATGTTTCTTGTGTCATCTCACTGGTGTACCAGCGTTTCAGCATTACCAAAATGTAAGGTTTTTGTTTGTTTTTTAGTTTGATAAGTGATTTTACGAGTTACGAGTAGAGTTATAGGTGTTAACATGTAAAATATTATTGTTTAAAAGCGTGCGAGTGAAAATGTCTTCCGGATAAATGGCCTGGGGGTTAGTAATCTTTTTTTTCTGTCTCATGATTTTCAGCAGTTTCTGACCAATCAAAACTTGAGATATGAGTTTAAGCTATGACAATTTCTTTATAAGCTTGGCCAGCTTTAAATGTACCTAGTTAAAGGACAGACATTAATAACTTTAAAGTATGACAGTGCTATTCGATATCGTAACTATTTAAGACCTTACATGTAAATATAGGTTGTTTGTTATTAGACTTGTTTACTTGAATAAAATAAGTTGAGATTTTAAATGATTAATAATAAAGCAAAATTTGTTTAGTTTTACCAATATCTATTTAAAACCGAAGGAAAAGAGTTATTAAGTGTAAATTGTGTTTGCATAGGTTAAAACAGTTTTATATTTTGACATGATTGTTTCTAATTTTGTAATTCCACTTCATAAAAATGATCTATTACCTCGTACGTGTTTCATGGAAAATTTTATAAATATTTTTCAAAATGTATCTTAAACGTTCAAATGATAAAAAGTGCGTGACAGTCTGTTTATATTTTTGGCAGTTTTTAAATTTGACTTTCCATGTTTAATTATTGCTTTTTGGCCAATGACTATTAAAATAGTCAATCTTTCGGAATATTAAATCAATTAAGAACGACCTGACAACGAAAAAAATGAGCATAATGTCACTTTAATCTATTAAAATTAATACATATACGGTCTTTCATAATAGCCGTCCTTAATATACAGTATAAGTGTTAATATAGGGTGTTTCATAATATTTGTCCTTAATATAAGCATTAATATAGGATGTTACATAATATCTGTCCTTAATATAAGCGTTAATATAGGGTGTCTCATAATGGTTGTCCTTAATATAAGCATTAATATAGGGTGTTTCATAATGTCTGTCCTTATATAGGGTGTTTCATATTATCTTTTCTTTATATACGCGTTAATATAGGGTGTTTCATAATATATGTACTTAATATAAGTGTTAATAAAGGGTGTTTCATAATATCTGTCCTTATATAGGGTGTTTCATATGATCTGTCCTTAATATAAGCGTTAATATAGGGTGTTTCATAATATCTGTCCTTAATATAAGCGTTTATATAGGGCGTTTCATAATATCTGTCCTTAATATAAGCCTTAATATTATTCTACACATATCGGTTTGAAATAAATTGAACATGTTTTACAAACATAATACCCTTTTATTTAATATATGATTCACAGACAATACCTTGATAAGAATTGATATACTGAAGTATTTTTACGAGTTTGTTTTACCATTTTCATGTGTAAGTGTTGAATTCTGGTATATGGATGGTCATGATTTAAATGACTCAATGATGAAGTTTTCATATAATTGTAAGGATGTAAAATTAGTCACCAAAAAAAAAAGAAGATGGATAGTATTAAAGATATCCGAGGATAGCAAAATCAAGTCCTACTGTATATATCAAGGAAATTTGTGTAGTGTATTTTGTTCACACTATGAAAATATACGTAGTGTACTGATTTGTTGATAATATTATCTTCATGATTGTAATGAAGATGTATGCTGATTTTATTACGTGTGTTACGATTGTTCGTCTGCTATACATATATTCACGAAAATTGATGAAACATATTTTAATCGTATAAATGGAATCTTACGTTGTTTATTTTACTGCTCATGGTATCGTTTGAAGAAAAATACTTCCAAGTTGTTGTTTGTTTGTTTTTTGTTGTTGTTTTTTTTTTGGGTGTTTTTTGTTGGTTTTATTGTTTGGTGTTTTTTTGTTATTTTTTTTGATCGGTGATTTTTTAGTGTATAAATTTTCGCATAAAAAAAAATAACCCACACCTTTCTCCTGTGTCAAACCATCTGTCTGATTCCGTTGCGGATTAGGCCTTGCAAGAGTTTGAAGGCTCTTTGTTACAGTATTAAAATGTAAGGCACAAAGCCCTAACCCAAAGAAAATGATTGAGATGCCCGCATGAAATTATCGTAGTTTGGACCGACGATAATGTTTAAACATTTCAGAGGCTCAAGGTATATGTCCTGGAGAGGTCCGCATTGTATTGTCGTTTTTTGTGGGTTTTTTATAGGCGATTTGTTCTTTCTGTACATTGCTAAATTATATCTCAATCATTTTGTCTATTTTTGTTTGTTTACAGATTATATGGATGAACAATGTGGTGGCAGTTTAGACTTGACTGACATGGGATCTATCCGGCTCAAATTGACATCAGATCATGTTTTTCAACCAAGCATGGACTGTACTTTACTAATAACCACATCGAAATACAATGAGCAGTTTATGCTTTTCTTCAGGGTAAGAGTGCTAAAAATTTAAGAATAATAATTTGAAAACTATTGACTATATTTAACGTGTTAACGTGCATAAAAGGCTGATACTCTGCGCAAAGGAACTCCACTGAGGTCCAAAAAGCCGTCAACATATAGAATTTTATTTAAGTGACATTCAATGCTTCTAGCGTTTTGATCTATATTGCAGTGTTAACGATCATTTTTCATAGAACGTTTCATTATGCAAATTATCCCGATTATTTGCTTTAAATGACTGAAATCGGGAGATTGGTACGTGTGCTTGCGATACCATAGCAGCTGTTGAAAATTTCGAAATTCAGTCTCGATTTCAGGAAAAATTCTACAACAAGATTATCTTAAAGTAACAGCAAAGTTGTCTGTAAAATATATCTTATTTAGAGTTATATTCTCTTTTACGGTATACTAAACGTGACTAGGGTTTAAAGGTGTTAAAATTTAATTGCACTACTTTTTTGTTAGCCATTGGAGTAATGGTGTATAAAGGACTTTCAAAAAAACAGATATTATTCAGAGCGGGCGCTATGGTGCAGTGGTAACGCTGTCTGCCTTCAAAACAAAGGGTCGTGAGTTCGATCCCCAGCTACTCCACTAAAAGAATGAATTGACTACGAGACTGACAAGATTGAATAGAACATACAAAGAGAGACTAAACAGTTAAAACATACAGATATAGATTAAACGGACAAGAATATAATTCAAAATAGCTAACGGAAAAAAAGAAAGAGACATAACGGAACAAAATAGCAAAAGACATTCAAAAAGTGAGTCACTCGGCAGAGAACAACAAAATGGAGGGCCTATGAATGGAACAAAACAAAGAGGCATCAACGATACAAAGGACGACTTGTCGATACAGACAAGACAACGACTAAATGGAACAATACACACAGACAAGAGAACGTCTTAATGGAACAAGACACAGGAAATTCGTCGATGCAGATAAGTGAACGACTGAATGGAACAATACACAGACAGCCAAGACAACGACTGAATGGTACAAAACACACAGACAAGACAACGACTTAAAGGAAAAATACACAGGGACATCGTCGATACAGACAAGACAATGACTAAATGGAAGACAACGACTAAATGGAACAATACATACAGACAAGAGAACGACTGAATGGAACAATACACAGGGATAGAGACAAGAAAACGACTTAATGGAACAAGACACAGGGAAATCGACGATATATATGATATATTAACAAATACAGACAGTAAAATATACAATAGTCCGGACGCAGTATTCCACAGTACACGAAAAACCACGGACCAGAAAACGCAAAACACTACATGGAAAGTCACTATTCGGAAAAGAAACAACGCATTACTGTCAGTAGACAAGACAGGAATTAACTAGAGCAGACCGACTTAATAGGACTGATGACAAAACACATAACGGAAAGAACAGAAAAACTACAAGCTCCCTGTGTCTTGTTCCATTAACTCGCAAGCAATCATGAATGCTTTATTTGATTCTTTAATAACACCATATGCTAATTTATAAAAGACATTTGCATTTTCCGACTATGCATGTAATGTATTCACCTGTCACTATTGTCTAAAAAGGACAGGAAAAATTTCCTAATATTTTAGTTAATAACGTTCGTTAGCATTGGATTTCAATCATCACACAGAACATATATTAACAAAATATACAAATAGTTTTCATTTTGCATATGCCATAAAAACATAAACTACTTATAATAATTTGACACTATTATAAAGCATGTATTGAATATTTACTTCAATAGTAAATAGTTTGATAGTTAGTTTGTCATTTTGCACAAGACTTAAATTAAAAGCAATGATACAAATTCTGCATTAACAATATTCATTACTATTTATTACAATGGCATGCATACATTTGAAATTTGTGCATTGTTGTTACATAGAAGAAGGACAAATCTAACATGTATGAATAAGAATGCAATCAACAAACATGCATTAGGAACATTATGATATAAACTTGTCATCAAGATGCATCAATCTGACTAACGTTCAGATCTACTCTTTTCTTTTATGTAGTTCTGATGATGACCTTTTATGTAGTTTTCTGATGATGACTTTTATGTTTCGCCTTCTTTATAATTCGGATATCCCGAGAAAGCAATTTTTAGCTATGCAATCAAACCATACAGTGTAGGCATCAGAAGAAGTGTCAAAATACGTTTTCCGTCAAAGTTAAAAAAAAAAATAGAAAAAAAATGTTTGAAGTAATTTTTAACGAATAAACTTGAAAAAATAATGTTTTCAGTGGGCAAGACTGTTTTGCCAGTTTACCTGTCGGCTATATGGACAACGCTATGTTTGTTATCAAATTTATAAAAATTACCTACTCAGTATTGATTTTTCTAGGGTCAAAATTAGAAACAACATAGCTTTTAAATCGTGAAAGCTCGCCAATAATTGGCTGTGTGAAAGGTCACCAGAAATGACTGCGTATTTGGTCACTGTCAGATCTAAAAGCGGAGAACGTTACTTAGAGCTCATTTTAATCAGAGTGCAAAGTATATACTTTTGGCGGATATTCACCTCCATTCTTGTGAGATCATGTTATAAAAAAAGAATACAAGTTCGGGAGCATTATACTGTTACAGTAACCCTATTGTTCTGTCTTTTTATACATATTTTTAGCAAAGAATCTTTTAATAGAATTTTCATAAATCTCAATTTGTTGAAACTGCTTTTGTAATGATGTTGGACAGGGAATACAAATCTAAGACGTATTCGTAGAGCAAATGTTTCATCCAAATTCATGTTTGTTTCAGAAATTTGACGTAGAAGATGGTCCTGATTGCCAATCAAATTGGTTACAGGTGCACGATGGATTCAGTGTTAATTCTTCATATGTAGCAGGTATTTATAAATATTTATCGACACACACATACATAATATAATATGTTAACATAAATATTTGAACAAATTTGCCATTTACTATTGTCAAATACTGTTGAAAGGCTGAGTCAAATGACATTAATCGCGCTTTATTAACAGCTCACATTTTATACTCATGGTCAAGAATGAGTACCTGACTTTTAAACGTCGTGTTTTATTTCAAAGCATTAATTGGTCTTACACTGTATCAAACTATAGTCCTTTTTTATCTACTGATATTTGAAACTGTTTTAGCATTTATGTATCAAACATTTTACTCGTTGATATATCAATCATTTTACTCACTTGCATTTTACTCGTCAATGTATCAAACGTTTTACCAGCTTATGTATCAAACATTTTTCTCGCTGATGTATCAAAATTTAAATAAATATTTAGTAATAAATAAAATTTACTTACTGTAAATCAAACGATTTACTCGTTGATGTTTCAAACATTTACTCGCTGATGTATCAACGTCTTATTCGTTGATGTATTAAACGTTGTACATGCTTGTGTATCAAATGCTTAACGTGCCGATGTATCAAACGTTGGACTCGCTGATGTATTAAACGTTTTACTCGTTAATGTAGTAAACGTTTTACTCACTGATGTATCAAGCGTTTTACCCAAACATGTAACAAACTTTTTACTCACTGATGTATCAACGTTTTACTCAAAAACGTATTAAACGTTTTATTCGCTGATGTATTAAACGTTTTATTCGCTGATGTACAAAACGTTTTACTCGCTGATGTATTAAACATTTTACTCGCTGATGTATTAAACGTTTTATTCGCTGATGTATTAAACGTTTTATTCGCTGATGTACATTTTACTCGCTGATGTATTAAACGTTTTATTCGCTGATGAATTAAACGTTTTATTCGCTGATGTATTAAACGTTTATTAAATGATTGGACGAATAAGATAGGCAAAGACCTCTTAGTGATATCAGTACAGATGATTCTCATTTTATAGAATATTATTTTAACCTTTTAGGTTTAAATGGTAATCTCTGTGGGACGTCAATAGGCAATGCAGTATGGGTAACGAACGGATCAAATCTTTTCCTGTATTTCAAGAGCGGAACTCAATACCAGAGCAGGGGCTTTGACATGGTGATTACACAGTTTCATACAGGTATTATCATTTTTTGTTGGTTCTGATAATATATGACGCCAAATATTTATATATATATGACGTCAGCCATGAACATACACAATTAAACCGAGCATGCTGTATTTATAACTATGTCGTGTTGACAATAAAAAATCAACATAAAGTTGGGTAAGGATTCCACTGAGGTCAAAAAGTATAAATAATGAAAAAAAAAATGCAAAGTGTTGTTAAGAGATATACTATTGAAGACCGAGTTTTTGTGCGATTTTAAGCATCATTTGAGCGAAAAGCGTTGCATTTGCACACCGATAACAGCGTAAGATTTTGATAATTTTAGGAAAATTTAACGCAAGTGATTTTTTTTAAATATTTTAAGGCAAGTGAATATTTTTAAGGAAAGTGTAACACAAGTAATTACTTTTTCCAGGAAAGTGTAACGCAATTGAACGCAAAGGATTATATTTAAGAAAGTGTTACGCAAATTAATATTTTTGTTTAAGGAATGTGTAACACAAGTGAGTATTCTTGTGGAAATGGACGTTGCGTCTGGGATGGGTTGGTCTGTAATGGATACAACCCATGTGGAGATGAGTCTGACTGTATTGGTGTCCTCGCTGCTGCAGTAATCATTGGCATTGTATTTGGCTCACTCATTTGTTGTATTGGAATGACATGCTTGACAATCTTTTGCTGTGCACGACGCCGACGACGCTCTAAGGTAAGAAGACCCCTTTTTTATTATATCTTTTTATTTCATATAAATTTATTGAAAACCTTTTGATAACCTTTTAGTACTTGTACAAAATTCAGGAACATTTTAGGACTGGTACAAATTTCAGAAACATTTTAGTACTGATACAAAATTCATGAACCTTTTAATACTGGTACAAAATTCAGGAATATTTCAGTACTGGCACAAAATTCAGGAATCTTTTAGTAGTGGTACAAAATTCAGGAACATTTAAGTACTGGTACAAAATTCAGGAACATTTAAGTACTGGTACAAAATTTAGGAACATTTAAGTACTGGCACAAAATTCAGGAATCTTTTAGTAGTGGTACAAAAAGCAGGAACATTTTAGTACTGGTACAAAATTCAGGAACATTTAAGTACTGGTACAAAATTTAGGAACATTTAAGTACTGGCACAAAATTCAGAAATCTTTTAGTAGTGGTACAAAAAGCAGGAACATTTTAGTACTGGTACAAAATTCAGGAACATTTAAGTACTGGTACAAAATTTAGGAACATTTAAGTACTGGCACAAAATTCAGGAATCTTTTAGTAGTGGTACAAAAAGCAGGAACATTTTAGTACTGGCAGACAATTCAGGAACATTTTAGAAATGGTAAAAAAATCATGAACATTTTAGTTCAGGTAAAAAAATACTGATAAATAGTCCTTGGAAGTTCGTATGTTTCCTTCTCGCCGGTATCTCATTGAAATACTCGGACCAATCTGCAAACATCTAACAGTGATTACCCTCCCTTGGAGATCGCTGTAACTGACAGGGGAATCACTTTGGTAGGAGATTGGACATCTTGGTGCTAATACACTGTTTTATAAAGTTTCCAATTTAATTTTCAGGAGAGGGAAAATTTATCAGCCCTTATTGTGACGCAGAACGACAGGGTATGGGAAGGATATAACTACACGACGTAAGAAAAATACATTAATAAAACTGTTTGTCATATGTGTAATGTCGACCGTAAAGTTTATTTAAACCATAGACACGGCAACTGTTAATTATTTGAAACAATTTAAAGGCTTTCTCTTAAAATGAAAGTTTTCTGTTGTTTAAATTTGTTACAGGTTATTCGGTAGTTATAAACGCTTCTTTGAAATAAAACACTCCGTAGCGGATCATTCCCCATTTTTTATAGAGCCTAACCTGTCAAAATCTTTTTTTTACTAACAATATAATTTTATGCGTTTGTATTGCATGACTAAACGATTTACGAATGAATTTTTTTCGATTTTAACTCACTATTTGTTTTAGTTATAGACAATAGTGCATGTTAACTTTTTGCTTGCTGGCTGCAACAGTTTCTACCCATGCGACCAGTGCAGACCAAGATCATGGTCTGCTTTCTTTACTATTCACATAGTACATTGTATATCATAATTCATGGTAAAGGGAAATTGTTTCATGGTTAACGTCCTAGCGCACTTGTCTTTAAAGATTCAATGTTTATTTTTCATTTCAAAAGAATTACGTATTTTTTTTATAAATTTTTAAAAACTATATTTTATTCTCATATTTTTACTTTCATTGATTTGTCATACTGATTTGACTTTCTTTTATCTTTTATATTTCGACTAATTTGTATTATTTTGTATTTTTCTCCACTTACGATCTGTTATTAGTTGTTGTTGTTTTTTACATTTGCTTAACTCTCAATCTCTCTCGCTTAAAATGACTTAAAATATTTTATTTTGCTTGTCATCCTGTGTTTTATAAAGAAATTTAATTAAATACATGTATATGAAAAAAAAAATTAGTTAACTTTCAATATGAAATGGCCTTTTCAGTTTTTTTCAATCTTTTCTGTTTCATTTGTGAAAGAAAAATCATTCGTTAGGTGTGAATCTTATTAGAACAAATCTGGAGTCCACTTTTTTTTTATCTAACTAGAACTTTTGTCAGAGGCAAAAATATTGCCATGATCCCAGTATTGCTCAAACCTACTATTGCATTGAAGTCATCATCCGCTTGATTCCTATCCGCGTTTGCTATAATTCGTTTAATTTGATCTATTTAACAACATGTTTCTGTCTTTGGTCACTCACGTGGTATGTAACTTGTCAAAGTACGTGCAAGTCAAAACAGTTAAACTGCTTGAGTCGGTGATAGGGAGGGGTTGGGATGAGGAATAATGCGCGATTCAAGACCAAATAAATCCAACCGATTTGAGGATTTGGTGCACATGTTATTATCTGTCTTATAGTGACGAATTTTTTTGTAAAGAATTCGGATGGAGTTATAAAAAGCTTTATTTTATACCGAATGATGCTATATACATTATCTATGATTTAAAAAAATGTTCTGGGTTCAGCGACTTTAATAAGAAAAAAATAGAATGCCGATAAAAGAACAATGGTTTATTACAATGAAGGGATTTGCATTAAAAGTTGAGTAATATTTTTTTTTCCATTGCAAATGTACTAATCAAAAGTTCAATGAAGTTTGATTGGGTCATTTAGCAAAATTTACCAGAACATTAATCAAAAAACATATCTTTTGCTCTGCTATGTATAGGATTCAATGAAACATTCGGCTGAAGCCAGTCAATCACCTAACTATCATCTGTAAATGACCTTGTTAACGAGCTACATTTAGCATCTTATAATTCAGTGAAACTTGATTGAATCATTAGTTCAGCACAGAACAAATTCATTTATTATTTCATCTCATTTACTTCGTCGGCAAAATGCTTAATACAATATTAGGCAATTATGTTACTTTGTTCGATAAAAAAACTTTTTCATGTAAAAAATTATTAATGTTGTGATAGTTTGTGAGGTCAACAGAAGTCAAATGGTGTCATATATTTGGAATATGAAATTATATTCGTTTCAAATTTGAAATTATTTTTAAATGTTATTTGTATAAGAGATTCGAGCATATTGAAAACTTCTTGAAAAAAAAATAATCGGTCGAGTTAATTCTTTGATCAGTTTCATTTAGTCATAATTGTTTAATCATATAAAAGTATCGTAGATACAATGTATTGCAAAAAAAGAAGAAATCTCAACTAAAAAGAACACATAAAAGATACATTCGACCTTTTTCGCACGGTGTTATATTTTTATAAGTATTTAAAAATCAAACTACGAAAAATATATAAAGTGTTTGCTCATTTTTAAGATCCATTTCTCGAACGATTTATCCAAAATATCGCATGTTTTTTTTTTTTTTTTTTTTTTTTTTTTTTTTTTTTAGATTTACTTTGAAAATTCATCTCTGAGCAGTTTACCGTTGAAATTCTTTCAAACTAAAATGCTTTCTCTTCC